TCTAGACACAAAGCAGGCCCTGAGGGTAGTCGCTTTTCTTCTCCCTGTCTTGTTATAGTTGTAGGTTATGTGACCCCACTTACTGGGAAGTATAGGGCTAATCTTCCAGGCATTCCCTTTAAAAGTTTATCTCCTGAATTTTTTGGTAACAGTTTGTTTTGCTGACACATGGAGTCAGATGTGTAGCAACCAAGAGAAACAATGCATAACATTTTCCATTGTCAAAATATGCATACAGAGGTTACACTTCCCAGTGTGAATTTTTCCAGCTTACACATGTGGGATGACATCACAGAAACCACAAAAGCAACAAATTAAACTACATGAGAATAAATACTCCTGACTGGTCTCAGAGGGGACATCTTTATGCCTTCTTAACTTTATTACAAATTCTCAGGCTGAAACCTTAGGCCATTGTTCTCCGGCAAATCAATGCAACCCATCGCTGTAGCCCCTCAAAGAAAAGCAGGGAAAACTCTGATCAGTGGCGAGCTGTCCTCAGGAGCCTGTGGTCTCCCCTGGTGCTGCAGAGAGCCTGGTGCTGGGCCAGCGAGAGTGCCCGGGCACCTTCCTGCCATCTCTCAGTTGATGTTTACTAAGCATTCTGAGCCAATGCGGCCCTGACAACTGAAAGGGCAAGATGCCTGGGCAGTGGGGCCGGATCTTTCTCACGCAACCTGACCTCCCCCCCCCCCCTTTGGCAGTCTTTCCTCATGAGGCTTATTTCATTGAAAACTTCTGCAATGGAGGGCTCCCTTCTGTGTTCTGGGAGCAGCAAGCCCAGGGCAGGACTCGCTCTGGTGCTCCTTCCTCATTGCTGTCAATAGGACCCCAGCCAACCGGAAGTGACCCAGATAAACTTGATACCGACCCTCCCCCAGAAGTCTCACGGTGCCTGTGCTGACCCTGTAGGTGTGACTCTGAGGCTGGGGACTTCATACACTATGGCTTGCTGGTGGGGGACAGTTCATGGACCACCTGTTCCCCTCCCTACCACCGCAGAGGCCTGCCCTAGGCTGCGACAGGTACCCCCATCACGACTCAGGAGCAGACCCATAAACACATCTGGATGCAGGCAGCTGAGGCTAATACATCTGTTTGCCTCTCACCACCCAGAGGCAAGTCCCCTTTCCAGACCAAACCCAGTGCCGATGCCCCTTCCCATGTGAGAAATTTCTGGCATCAGAGCCAACTCAGGTCAGCCAAAGTGGGGACTGTGGGAGGGTGTCACTACCACCCCCCCAGCCCACCCTTCTCCAGAGTGGCAATCTAAAGCAAGCCCACCAGCTACGTCCCAGCTTTGAATCCAGCAGAGTCCCTCCTACAGGCACATCACCCCCTAGAAAATCAGTTTATCTATGAGGGCACAATTCTCTTGACTCACTCCATAGCTCCTGTTGACATCTGTTCCTTTAAAACCTACTTGGAAGCTGCAGTGGTGATACACATTACACACTAAGAAAGACTCGTGAGCCCCAGGCTAAGAACCATTTCTGTGCAGTAAGGATGCTTCCAGAAGCCATTTACCTACACATGGATGGAAATCCCCTCTTTAACTCTTGGGACAGCAGTGGCAGCTGACGGTCCAGCCATAAGAGTCGACTTCATAGGAGAAAAACTAGGAGACAAAACACCGCATATAAAATTGTTATAACATTCAATAATGGGTAGTGATAGCCTGGAGATTTACCACATAGTGAAAGAAATTCTCACTGGGATTCAGCTCTTCCAGGTTGAATATTCTGGAACCCATCCTGATTTTCCACATCATCTGCAAAAAACATGTCTTATGTTCCCCCTGTGAGTTTCCTTCCCGAAAATAATTTAGTCCTCCATTTAAGCACAGTTTAAATCCAGACAAAATAATAAATATCCTGTGATCCTTTTAGTTTTACAAAGAACTAAAAGGACATCTATGTTCATGGCCTATAAGCAAGTACATAAGGAGGGCAGTGATAGAAAAAAAATGTATCAAATTAGAAAGTCCTCTAAGAGTCCAAGGCGGGATGAGTAATAGAGCTGATGGTTCTCTTTTACCTTCTATCAGGTCAAATTGGGAGGTTGTAGGGAAGACCTATGGTTTAAACGTGTGTGGCAACTGTTAAACTCTCAGAACACTTGGCTACAGGCCATTCAGCGCAGTACAGTTACAGCTACTAAACCATTTCGTCAAGTTCACAGAGCTTCATCCATTTATAATGCTTCAGTTTGCTCATTTCTTTTCACGTACCCTTTATGTTACAGCCTGTTACTTTTGTACACGTTTCTCATATTGGGGTTCTACAGGTAACAACCTATTTCCGTAGAGAAAGTCATTGTTAAGAATATTATATCCAATAAATGGTATCCAGGTAAACATAAAGACGTGTCTCGTTCCTTACGGACAAGGTCACCAAAACGGGGAAAGGGAAATCCCCATCCCTAACTCACCCATTTATAGAGGCACAAGGAAATTCTGGGACAGTCCAGAAGAAACGAAAACGAGTGGTGGTCAGGGCCCAGACACTGCCAGTCTACCTGAATCGGTTTGATGGCATAAGAAAGAAGGTGCCTTTTAACATACATAAGAGTGGGGAGGTGGGATTGGGTAGGTGGGATTGGGTGGGTGGGAGGGACCACATTACTTGCTTTGAACAACATAAATGTATAACCTATCAGAATAATTTTTTTGAAAACTCAATTTACAAAAGAGAGAAAAAAAAAGCAAGCACGCAGAAGTAGAAACATTGATATCAGACTTATCCAGGATGAAAATCTAAGTGTAATGGAAATTTATAAAATTCTGAAAAAATAGAATCAAACTTCATAAAGAACTACAGAAAATATGAAGAAAAATAGATACGTAGAATGGTAACAAGGGGTCTTTATTCTTACCATCCACTACCCATGTCAAAGCAAGGAGACAAAAAATAAGTACCTGGAAGACCTCAGTTAATAATTAATAATGTAATCAAATGGATATGGATCATATTGAGATTCTTCAAACATACAGAATATGCCTTCTTTCAAAGTACCTCTGAAAAAGAAAACTACCTACACAGAACTATATATATATATAAATTTTATATATTATGCCACAAAGTTAAAACTCACATTCCAAATGGTACAACAAACCATGGGTTGCTTCTTTGGGAAAATTAAAACACAAGACAAATCACTAATCTCAGGAAAGATCAAAAGCACATATGCAAAGCATATGAACACAGAGAATCCAGCAGTCCACTGTAACCCATGAGATGATCTCAGAAATACAAGGATGGTTTGATATCTTAAAATCTAATCATTCATCAAATTGACAGATTTTCAGGAAATATGCCATATTAGGATTACCAGAGACCCTGAAAAGACATTTGAAAAAAATCAGTGTCCCTGAGTTTTTAAAGATCTAAGGCCAGAAACCACAGGACTTGAGAAATGTGAAGGCTATTTGTGGAAAATTAACCTCACAAACTTAGGACCTTATAAGCAGTCGTTGTTGGCTAAATTGCACTGCAATCGCAAGGCACTCTTAAATTTCAGTGGCTTATACCATGAGAGGATTATTTCTTACTTGCCCATCAAATGTCCGTCCCTGGGTGAGCTCTGGCTCTGCCTCCAGACCCTGGGCTAATGGGGAGCCTCTACTTGAGTCTCTGGCAAAAGAGACACATGGGGATTCTTAAAACTTCTGCTCAGTGGGGCAGGAGCCATCTCTATTAACATTTCAGGGACCAAAGTCACCCCATTATATGGCCAGGGCTCCCATCAGGAGGATGGGACAATGTTGCCAAGAGTTCATCAACGAGAAGGGATGTATACTCTTGCCACAGAGGAGGCTTGGGAATAGGATCTACAATAGACTGAGATTGAAATTAAGCTGAATATCAACAATGACTGGGGTGAGGAGGGGCCATGGAAAGTTGTGACTATGCTTTGGTTTTGAGAAAGATTTAAAAAGTCAATCTAGCAAATTTAAAGGAATACACATTTGTACAGATGGTAAAAGACTCATGAGGTGTGTAAAGAGAGGGCGATCTATGACCCACAGATCCAATTCCTGAGGTGGATGTTCGACAAACATAGAATATAGAATAAAGCTGAGAATTGCCAATATCAATACAATTGACTGCGCTTTTTCTCTGTGCCCTTTCCCCAAAGCTTTGGAGCTTTTATTGCCTTTTAATCGGGCTTTCTTTATGGAGAAATTTCCACTCCCGTGTGGACCTTTATAGCTGGTCTTCTTCTGGGGCCAAGTTAACCACTTTGTCTCTGGAGACACAAAATGCAGGTGATCTGCTGGTTCACTGGGCTCATTCTTACAAATGAGTTCAAGCTCCCGCACACGAGCGTCTCAGCTCCTAACCAACTGACGTAGCTGTGGTTCCTTCCTACTTGTCTTCCAACTGTGTGATCAGCATCAAAAACCTCTCCACTCTAGAGGCAAACTTTACTTGTCTTTGGCAAAGTCATCAGCGTGCCAGCAGGCTGGGTCCTTCACTGTCAGGGCAGAAGGGTACGCAAACACATTCTCAGGTCTGTTCAAAAAAGACTGACCCTCCACCAGATACCTCTAAGAGAGTGGAATCAGAGTCTTAAAATACAGGGGGTTTTTTTTTTTGTTTTTGTTTTTTTTTTTTACTTTGATGTGTGGCCAACAGCTGAGGAGAAAACTTAACGCGTGGCCTCCTGGGCTTTCAGGAGGAGTGTCACTCCAGAAGGGAACACCAGCCTGACAACACAGCCTGGAAGGCCTGAAGTCAGGAGGGGAGGTCATAATTGAAAACACATGAGGGAATGTCCACAAGGTCCTAGAGTGGCTCAGAGGACAGCTTGGAGGGGGGACAGGGGCGGGAAGTGAAGAACCATGTATGTTTGTACAGCTCCAGTACATAAATATTTTGTTTCGTGTCTAACTCCAAGAGGCACAAGTGCAAGCAAACATCCCCACGCTGCAGACACCCAATGATGACACCACAGGCGCACGTGCTTAGGTAAAAAGATGTATTTCAAACTGGGAACAGTTGTACGTTACAAAAAGTCACTGTGAATCTAAATAAATAATCAAATGTATAGCCTCCAAGATGCAGAATTTCATCTCTAGCTCAACGGTCGCATTCGACTTTGTTTCGCTTGGGCTTTCGGAGTGAGTAGCGCCCTGGTCAGCAGACGGACTACTTCTTTGCCGCGTGGGTTTTTTTCCTCTCTTCCAACAAGGAGACCACGTTCTAGATCAACAGAAACAGGGGAGTGTAATCCAAGGTCTGCCGTTATTTTTTTTTTTTAAGTATCATAAAATTAGCCTTGAAAATCAGAAAGAGCATCCCAACCTGTCTGTCAAAAACTCTGGCCATCTCTAGCACACCTTTGCCAAACTGAAAGTGAAAACAACAAAAATTATACACACACACACACACACATATATAGAACTTTCTCCACCAGGGAAAGGCTTTAGATAAAGTTACTTACCTCATTCTTTACAGTTGCATCTGCCCCTTTGTCAAGAAGTAGCTGGACTAACTCCTCGTGATTATTTAACACAGCCACCTGAGAAACAGAAGACAGTGGGGTGTGAGGGAGTCTGCTGCTCCCGCAGAGGGCGAGGCCGGTGGCCAGGGTAGACCCCGTGCAGGTGGGCCTGGGGACGTCGGCTGGAGGCTTTCTCAAGGCAGAGCCAGCCAGGGCCACCGTGGCTTCGCACCACACATGTGTGCTCTCGCTCTGCAGCCATCCCAAGTGCCAGGAAAATGGAAGTGGAATCCACCTTCCTCTGCGCTCCAATGACACGAGAAACACTAGGCCAGACCAGCACAAGAAAGCAGCGCGTTCCTTGTTGGAACAGATCTGCTAGGATGCTACGATGGCCCAGGGGACTGGGGCTGGTAAGCTTTAAAGAAATAGTTGTAAAAAGACAACAAAAATATTGTAGTGACATTATCGTGCCTCTTTTAACAGGCCAGCAGGGAATATACAGGCAGCCAAAAGCCAGCGCTCGTACATGGCTAAGTTCACAAGAATTGCCTGATTATAGAAGCAGCTCTGACCTTAATTCCATACACAAAGCCAGGCTGTTTTCTGAAGAGTGGCATACCATTAGAGGGGTCTTTCCATCTTTGTCTTTCATGTTCACGTCCGCTCCAGCTTCAATCAGCAGAGAGGCTACCCTCTGGTTTCCTGAGACAGCAGAGACTCTCATGAGTGGGGTCCATCCTGAGCCCGTGTCCGCAGCGTCTACCTTTATGCCAGAGGAAGAGCTGCTCTTAGTCCAGTCTCTTTTCCTTAAAAATAGTCATCAGAAACTTACAAAGGATTATTTAGTTGCCCAAACTCCCCGGACTTGGAGAGCCGGTTAGGATCGAGGGGACCGTGCTAACATAACCCACATTCACACGCGGTGAGAAGCTGTGTTAGGACCTCACAGGGTGCTGAGAGGCCCCAGGTCATCCCACTGGCACCTTTACCTACATTTTGTTAAAATGATTGAAGGATGGGGGCACCTGGCTGGCTCAGTCGGTTAAGCATCTGCCTTCAGCTCAGGTCATGATCTTGGGGTCCTGGGATGAGTCCCATATCAGGCGCCCTGCTGGGATGGGGGCGGAGTCTGCTTCTCCCTCTGCCCCTCCCCCTGCTCATATGCTCACTCACACTCTTTCTCTCTAGTGAATTTTTTAAAAAAGGGTGCAAGATGGGATAGAGAAATGAACCATCCTACTCTTAGCTCCATGAGAAGTCCCTACCTTAGTTTCTCTTGACTAACTTTCCTCCCTTTTTAAAAAGTTTATTTTGTTCACTTCTAAGTATCTCTGTAAGCAGCTTTAAATGCTTTCTGGAGCAAGATGTTAATATGTAGACACGCTTGTCAACAAGCAGGAGAACTACAGGTCCAACAAACACAAAGCAACCAGATTTACTACATAAATTCTAATATGAAGTTACCCAACCTAATACTTCTCCAAACTTAATTTGACTAGTAATGAGATGGCCATTTCCCAGTAATCCAGTGATTGAGATCTCTCAACGTCGTTTTAAAAGCCACATTCTAGAATAAGAAAATGTAAATGGTGCCTCCCCAGTTTCAGTGAAGGACTCACCAACCATGAAGAATGACTCTAAATATATATACACGTGTGCATGCACACACGCGCCTGCACAAACACACACATCCCTAATTTTGTTACAGAAGAATTACTCAGACATGTTAGTAAAACACCAGAATGGAATATCAAACCAAGAACTGCCAAAAGGTCCCTGGGATGTTTCAGGTTATTTATATGTATGAGATTATCCACTCGACATCATTAGGATTTGCAGTTCTTTCTCATGCAAATAACAAATAACCTTTGAGCAGCAGAACTCCATTATGTTTAAATAATAAAATCATCGCCTTGTTTTACATGGTGCTTTATGTGGTCTTTGGTGAACTTTCACCCCCATTTTCTCTTTTGGGGGTTAAATGAGGTAGATGCTTTTATTGCTGGTCTACAGGTGATTAAACTAAATCTCAGAGAAATCAAAGGCCTTTCCTGAGGTCACGTGGCTCATTTGATGTAGAGATGGTTCCCCAAGCAAGTCAGTCACTGTCAGTATGAAATTATGTTCAAGACTGGTGGCCACAATGCCCGGCTTGGGATCCCAGATGCCTCCTACCGGCACCCAAACATTGGGTGGCCCGTCTGCCAAGAACAGGGAGGCACTCCTGGTGACATCACCTATCTGCCACCAGCCAACCACGGATATCTCTAGTGGCAACATACATGTAGCTCTAGTGCTATTGATTTACCCACAAATCAGTGTGTTCTTATCTGAAGCCCAGAAAGTCTAGGTTTCCAAAATTACTGTATTTAAGTGTTCATGCCAGAGATCTGCCCTTCTTTCAGCAAAGGCCAAACTTCATTTTTCACTACAGAGTTTTACTGGGACCAAAGCATGAGCAGAGTTCACCATAAACCAAACAAGAAGACTGTGGCTCTTGCCACCACACAAGGTAGGTCCGGCCCCACCCTACCAGCGAGGCCCACATGCTAATCCTTCTGACCTCTTATGTGTCTCTCTAAAAGGGGAAAAAACAAAACAAAACAAAACAAAAAAACAGGAAATGTAATAAAAAGTAACCACTGAGATTTTCCTTCAAGGGTTCCTTTCTTCAGCCTTCTGCTGGCAGCGGCAGGAAACCAGTGAGACCCCACAATTAAGCCTTGCTTTCCCCTCAATCACACTTCAGAGACAAGCTAGAACAAATCTGCTAACATCTTCCAGGAGACATGACTCTTCTCAATTTGAGTTTATTTTCCAGGTCATCAGTTTAATTTCTCCATACTCTACACCATCTGGCAGTCTCAATTAGGATAGCATTCTGCTTACCATTCCTTATTTCCATGCCTCGAAATTTTTATTTAACTTCTCTCAAGTCTTGAACTAAAGTTCTCAAAGTTATCAGCAGTCACCATAATTGAGCTAATTCTGTTTACTCATCTTCAAACAGCTACAGAAGTCCAAACAACGCCGGTTCTATTATAAGTATAATCTGTACTTTCCGATAACGTGAAACCAAAAGGATACCCACATGCCTGCTTCAAGGTAAAGGCACGCGGAGCTGCTCTGCTTGTGACATGGTCAGTTTGCTCTTCAGAAAGGTTTTGCAAAGACTGAAATCTTTAAAGCAAACCACACATAAAAATAGTCTAAGAGCAGTAAGAAGTACTACGACTGTAAGAGTTCTTGACATCTTGTGTCTGCAAGCACCTAGGATAGCAACAGGCACATGGCAGGTGCTCAGTAAAGCTTTGTGGACAGATTGAACAGAGACGCAATGAGTGAATGAACAGAGGAATAAACAAAGCAGAAGCATCATCAGTTCCAGCTCTGGATTCAGCAGGGGTTTTTTGGGTTTTTTTTGGTTTTTTTTGTTTTTTTTTGTTTTTTTCCCTACACAAGACAAACCTCCATGATGATCTAAAGCCTCACTATCCTATCAATTCTATAATGATCTTTCTTCCCCAGGGCTTCAAGAACCTTCTTACTGATAAGTCAGACAACTTTCTGCAGCATTTTTAAGTTCAGCTAATCAAAGGCATCCACATAAGGCTGTTTCTCCTAACCCTGTGGAATGGCGCTGCAAGGTCTTAATGCCACACACGTGGCTGGGAAGGAAGATCCCGTACCTCACAGCCGTCTTTTATCATCCACTCGATCACACTGCAGTGGCCTCCATCTGCAGCCCAGTGCAGAGCAGTGCAGCCTCCTAGGTCTCTGGTCTCCCAAGAAGCGCCGTGTCTTCGGAGATATTTCACAACGTCTAGGTGTCCCGCGTAGCACGCAAGCATCAAACTGTAATATATGGAAGCAGCAGCAATAATTCTAAGTGCACTCACCAAACTCAGGTTCTCGTTTTACCCTGCCTGGCTTAAACCAAGAAATCCTAATGTGAGTGAAAAGCCATGAAAGTTATTCATATAAAATGTTGTGCCCAGGATGCCTGGGTGGCTCAGAAGTTAAGCATCTGCCTTCAGCTAAGGGCGTGATCCTGGAGTCCCGGGGTCAAGTCCTGCGTCGGGCTCCCTGCATGGAGCCTGCTTCTCTCTCTGCCTGTGTCTCTGCCTCTCTCTCTCTCTCTCTCTCTCTCTCTGTCTCTCATGAATAAATAAAAAATAAAATGCTGTGTCCATCAACTGATGGACAGATAAACAAAATGTGGCACATCAATACAATGGAATATACTTGGGCCTTAAAAAGGAAAAAGAAATACTGATATCATGTACAACATGAATGAACCTTAAGACATCACACTAAATAAAAGAAGCTGGACACAAAAGGCTACATATCGTTGGATGCTGTTTACATGAAATGACCAAAATTGGCAAATCCATGGGGACAGAACTGGCAGTTTAGCTATTTCCAGGGGCTGGGGGAGAAGATACGAGGAGTGACTGCCAGCGAGTACAGGGCTTCTTCCAGGGCTAATTAACAATGTTCTGGAATTAGACAGTAGTGGCAGTTGCACAGTTTTATAATATAGTCTTTAAGCACCGAATTTTAAAGGAATGGATAAATTATATCTCAAACAAAAGGAATCACTATAACTAAGTAAAATATTGGACTTTGAAACATCCATGAGTCTGTGAAGCTATACAAAAAAGAGGGAAGGAAAATATTCATCTGACCTTATTACAGAGGGCTATTAAGCCAATTCCATACTCTTAAATGTTGGTATTTAAGGAAAATAATTAAACATTTACTCTGCCTTTATGGAATAAAATGTAGTCCATCCTCCCTTGATGAGGGAAAGCCCTTTTCATAGAAGCCTGCCAGCTAATCAATATGGGAGAAAATATGGAATCAGAAAAATCATACTTTTACAATTCCCAATTAAATCATTGATCTGGGCAAGGACCATCACTCGATGCTAAAATTCTTGGGTGAAAGGTTAATGGAGAACAGGATATTCACACCATGATTCCTCCATAGATTATTTGCTAATTTTAATGGGAAACTGTATCTTTACAAAGGAGAGGTTTAGCTGTACCACTCTAACCAAATGATCAAACCTAGAATCAGCAGCTGTGGGACAACATGCATTCCTGAAGGATGTGGCCTGGAGCCACATCACCAGCTCTGAAGTGTTCTTGCTAAAAATGTTAACCTGCTTCAAATCAAGCCTTTAAGCCTAATTTTAACTTTATTGGCAATTAAGGGACAAATGAACAAGTTAAACACCGCCTCCACAATTAGGAGACAATGAAGCATCTCAAGGACATAGGGCATTCTATAGGATAATTGGTCTGGTCTCCTCAAAAGGAGGAAGAGAAACAAATATTTAAACCAAAATAATGGATAGAGGACCAGACTAGAATAAGAGACTAAACAGAACCAGCTGCAACACGTGAGCCTTAGTTGGATCATGGTCTTTCCCCATACCCCCAAGTACCTCAGATAGAGCCAAGAAGACTTTCTAGAGGACAAGTGGGGAGACTGGGGCATGAATGACTGGGGCATCAATGGTGTCAGCAAATTAGCGTGAAGTATCGGAAGTGTGATGATGATATGGTGGCTATGCAGGTTGACGTCCCTGTTTTTAAGAGATAACGTATTGAAATATGAATGGTAGAGGATTATAATGCCTATTAACACTGAAATGGGCAAGCAGGGGGGCAAAGTTAAGAAAAATTAGAGAAGCAAATAGGGCAAAATGCTGACAGCTGCCAAACCTAAGTGGTGAGTATATAGAAATTTATCGTACTATTCTTCCAATTTTTCTGAATGTTTGAACTTTTCAAAATAAAGAGCTGGGGGAGCGGGGCGAGAAGGCAGTCTTCCCAATGGGGAAATTCTATAAAGTCTCTGAGTGATAAATAGAGTGGGGTCCAGCTCTGAGGTCCAAGCCTGGGCTGGAATGGAACCTGAGGTCCACATCTCTGTATGCTTAATGCAAATGTTTAAGGCTCCCTGTAGATGCATTGCTTTCTAGAGAGGCTATGACTATTTACAATTTTATCAACTGCACCTAAAAGTGTCTATTTTGCTCACCTATACCAACACTATCTTTTAATATGAAAGCTTTTAATTTTTTTATTACTGGCAATTTTGCATATTAATTTATTCTGCTATGAATTGTCTTTTTGTGTAAATTGCTCCTTTCTACTGTGTATCTTTAGGGGAGGGGATGTATGTGTATCTGCTCTATATTAAATATGCCAATCATTGGTCTATAATATATTTGCAAATCTCTCCCCAGACTACCCTTAACTTTGTAATTTAGGTTTTAAAAATGTTTTATGTACTTTTAATCTCCTTAGTGATTTATTTCAATGATTTTGCCTTTCCCATTATAAGATTAGACACACATATGCTGTGTTTTCTATGGTTCGGTCTTATACGTTTAATTCTTAATTCACCTGGAATTTATTTTGATGCATGCTATAGAAGGCCAGAATTTAACTTTTTTTCTTCAAATAGCCTTTTTTTCCCTAACCTCTTCCTCATTTGTTTGTGTTGCTCCCCTCGTCACATGTTAAGTTCTTACATATATGGAGACCTCTTTCTAGTTGATTCTATACATCTTTTTTTCAATTATTTGTACCAGTACCTCACTAAGTACTATAATTTGATAAGTCATTTTAATAACTGTCAAAAGCCGTTCCACGTTTCTCTCCAACAAAATTAATAGCTGGTATCATCCATTTATTCTTTCGGGTAAGTTTCGAGCCCATCATTTTGACGGGCTCCCAAGTATAATTCCATTTGAGGCTATACTGGATCTATATATTAATTTAGAAAAACTGAAAATTTTACAGTCTTCAATCTTGTCCATTCTGGCATATGGTATAGGTCCCTTTTAAATATTTATATCTCTCAGTAATTTTTATAGGTTTTTTGGCACAAATTTCTCATGGAAGTGAGATATTTATTCTATTTTGTTTCCCTCATTATATTTACTGATTATTGCTGTTATTTAAGAAACACTTTTTTGTTTTGTAGCTGGCCACTACTCTCCTAAGCCTCCTTATTAAGATCAAGTATTTGAAAGTAGATTCTCTTGGATCCTGCAAGAAAGGAGCCAAGCCTCTCTTACTCTACTTCATCTCTCACCAGGTTGATCAGCACCCCAAAATACCAATCATGAAATAACAAAATATAACATGGAGTTACCATATGCCAGGCACTGCTTTACTTGTTTCTCTTGTATTAATTCGTCAAATGCTCACAATTCTGTAAGTACCTCTATTACCCCTATCTTGGAGATGGGGCAATTGAGGCACACAGAGGTTAAGTTACCTGCCCAAGTTCATATACCCAGACCACAGAGGAATCTGGATTTGACATCGAGTGCTCTTGCTCTCAACCACTCTCATGAGCTTCACTCCTTACTTTGAAAAGGAATCTGTCAACACTAAGAATGATACTGGCTGATGGTCTGAGACGATAAACAACCTTTTATGATCCAATCGAAGGATTCACTCCAACAAGCAGAGGCTAGTCTTCCTAAGACACTGTACCAGGAACAAAAGCATCCTGCACTTTAAAAGAAAAGATGCTGAATAATGCCGAATTTTTGTTTTGCATCTATACATACATAGGTTTTCATCTTTGGTCTACTAATAGGAAGCATTAAGAAATCTCCTAATCTGGGATCCCTGGGTGGCGCAGCGGTTTGGCGCCTGCCTTTGGCCCAGGGCGCGATCCTGGAGACCCGGGATCGAATCCCACGTCGGGCTCTCTGCATGGAGCCTGCTTCTCCCTCTGTCTGTGTCTCTGCTTCTCTGTCTCTCTCTCTCTGTGACTATCATGAATAAATAAATAAAATTAAAAAAAAAAAAGAAATCTCCTAATCTGTAGTGTCTGGAGGGCTCAACTCAGCTGGTTAACCATCTCCCTGCAGCTCAGGTCATGATCTCGGGGTCCTGGGATCAAGTCCCACATCGGGCTCCCTGCTAACAGGGGAGTCTGCTTTTCCCTCTCTCTGCCCCTCCCTCTGTGCACTCGTGCACGCATGCTCTCTCCCTCTCTCTCTCAAATAAATAAAATCTTTAAATGAAAAAAGGAAACTTCCTAATTTAGACATCCTAACCGTCCTGCATGATCCTCCAAGTTGGGATGGAAGAGACATAAATACCTGCACATATATAAACATATGAACACCGCTCTTTCACTATCAGATTTCAGCAGTAAGATTATCCTCTGTGACTTTCCAAATACCCATCTGCTAAGTAAGTTATCTACAATCCTCACAAGCTCAGAGGCAGAACAGTCAAACCACAAAGTCTCTTTCATAGGGAATCCCTCAATAAATTTTCTAATTTCTTACGTGGATATTGGTGGTCTCAGATTTTCTGTGTCTTGGGTTGGTTTGGGGGATTTATATTTTTCCCCAGAAACTGTACCATCGAAAAGCTAATTTCAATGAAATTATCACATCTACTAGTGTAGACACAGCACACCGCTTTTCTTTTTACATTTGGATTTCCTCTCTCACCACTGTTATATGTACCCTTCCAAAATTCTACTTTTTCTTCTTAAATTTCCAAAAATTTCCAACCACAGCCATGTACCATTTCTAAATTGATTTTTTTCTTCGATCTATAAGAAATTGGTTCATTTTATTATATAGGCCTTTTTTTTTTAAGAAGCAGCCCTTACATCTTTTGCTCCTATGTTTCAATAATCTTCCGATTTTCTAATCAATTTATTTTCATTCTTTCCTCCTTCCTACACCCTCAAAGTTTTTCTTTGTCCTTTTTAAGTTGGTATTGTTTTCAAACTTCTTGAGTTGATGGCTTGGCTCCAAATTAACCTAAGAGTTACGCAGAAAACAACTTTCTAAATTTTTTTAAATTATTTTAAGATTTTTATTTATTTAAGAGCAAGAGAGAGCATGAGCAGGGAAGCAGGGGAGTGGAGTGGGGGAATGAGAGGGGGAGCAGTAGATAGAGGAGAAGCAGAATCCCTGCTGAGCAGGGAGCCCCAACTCAGGCTTGATCCCAGGACCCTGCAATCGTGACCTGAGCCGAAGGCACTTAACCAACTGAGCCACCCAGGCACCCCAAATTTTAAAATTATCTCTTTTAATGTTATTTAAAACTTATTTCTCTGTGTGTTCAGAGAGTGTAGCAGGTAGGTGTTCTGAGCTCAGAAACTGATGCTTTCCTTGTGGCCCGCCAAAGGTGACTAGTGTTTTGTTTGGTGTAAGATTTTATTTATCTGAGAGAAGGAGCACAAGTGGAGTGAAAGGCAGAGGGAGAAGCAGTACTCCCCACCGAGAAGGGTTCCATCTGGGCACTCGAGGATCATGACCGGAGCCAAAGGCAGGCGCTTAACTGACCAAGCCCCCCAGGCGCCCCAACCAGTGTTTTTGTAGCTACTCCTTAGATACTAGTTTGCAGGACACACACCTGTGAGCTGTATGTACGATGGGACTCTGAGGTCCTGGAGCAAAGCCTTTGCATTTTCTGTACTGTTTCACCCAAGCACCTACACATAGCCTGGCATATGGTAGCCATTCAACAAATACTGGTTAATTAGAATTAATCAATTAAACCTAATTACTTGACTAGAAATTATTTTTAGGTCTTTGTAGAGCATTCTCTCATCTCTCTAAATACAGGTTTCCAAGTACCATGCTCTTTCGTAAACGTCTCCTGTGCTTTCACCGTAGGGAAGTTCTTGGGCTTTGTGCTTCTTGGGGAACACCTAGGAGTCTTAGTTAAGAAAGTAAGGCCAAGTATAAGGAGAGCCCTTCAGGGGACAGCCCCCTCCCCAAGTGTCCCAGGCACAGCCAAATGGCCAGCACGGGCTCGTGATAACTACAGTAATAGCTGTCAGTTGCTGAGCCCTTAACATGGGTTGGGCACGGAGCTAGGGAAGGTAGGTGCTTCAGATCATACAGCCCACTTCAATCCCATCGAAGGAAGGAATAAGTGTGAACAAAACAAGCCAGACTTTGTCATCGACCTCTTTCCTTTGGGCTACAGTCCTGTCAAAAGAAGCTGCATCCTATATTTGGGTTAAAGCAAAAGCCATCTGGGCACGAGCCTGGTAACGCAGGTATGGGGACGTTTCGGGGCATGGTCCACCACCCACCTGTCCTTGCCACTTCCGTTCCTCAGATTCACATCTGTGCCGTTAGAAACGAGGATTTTCACAAGCCTGAAGGAAACAAATTGGAAGGGAGCTGGATACGCAGCTTTGATGATAATGCGGGAACAGGGAACGGCGCTATATGTAAGACACAGCTCCACAACTTGCTTTCCTGCCTTCAGAGGCCAGCTGGCTTCAAAGACAGGATGTTATTGAACCAGAAAACTACCTCTTCGACACCAAAAAAAAGGGGGGGGGGGAGTTTATCCCTCACATGAATTATTCATTGAAAACAAAGCATACCACATGAAACACATTGTACCATCAAGCTAATTCACTGTTGCCTTAATGACTGCTTTAAATACATTTCCAAATGGCAGTATTTAATAAAATATTTTTTCAACATAGCACTTTAGTAGTTAACTATAAATATGACTGAAAAATAAGCTATTAGTATTTATGCTTCTGTGTGGCAGAGAGATAATGGAGCGTATCAGTGAAAATGATATCTTAGCAACCTATCAGGGAACTTTGTTTTCCAGAGTTAATATCCCTACTCCTTTCTTTTTTTTTTTTTTAAAGAAATTTAAATTCCAGTAACCAGTTTTCCTGGGACATACAAAATATATTGCAAAACATAATTAAGTAGCTACCTCTCTTCCTCACCATAGAGTTAGACATTTTTACATTCTCTGCTGCATGTTCTAGAACTTCATGATTAAAATAGCTTGTTTGTGCAGCCCTTACAGTTTTGGAAACCGAGAGGAAAGGGGCTCTTGCACACCCCCTCTCCTTCCCATCCGTGTTCTGACCAGAACTTCCGGGAGAAGTAAAAGGTTGGGCCACTCAGAGATGAGAAAGGAGGAGCCCTACCTGCTGTATCCTTTCTGGGCAGCGACCATCAGAGCGGTAAAGCCAAACTTATTGGGAACATCGACCTTCACATTTCTGGGGAAAAAACACAGAGAAAAGAGATTAACATGCTCGGCATGGCTCCCCAGAGATTCACAGCTGATGTCTCTTGCAGGACACAGGTGCCGAATAGGATTCATTTTCCCAAAAGTTCCAATTTCTTCTGGGCCATTAAGTTTGTGTCTTAAACTGCCCTAACCTAATATTTTTAAAGGATTTATATTCACAAGAAGAGAAATTGCCATAATTCCACTTAAAATAGGCACTCCCTTCAACCCAAAACCATGATGTCATCGGATAGAATACTGCAAAGAGCACCACCCCCTTAGGTGGCCAAGGACGCAGGGTCTCCAGGCCACACACCTCCCCTCCACGAGCCTAGACTGAGGGAAGCCTGAATTTTTCCCTTAATTCCCAGCTCACCAATGGGCGTGAAGTGCTGCCACTGGAGGAAGAAAGAGATCTTAACAGCTTAGAAGCCTTGGAGAAGTATTCCACAAAAAGCCAACTGAAGTGCCCTATTCGCAAAATGCCTGGCCTTCCAAGGCACTCAGAACTATGGATTCAGAAAAAATTTAATTAACATTGTTCACGTTTCATTAGGAGGCAGCTTCAGATATCCCATGGCAGCAAATGTATTTGCTACTTTTCTTCTAGTGTTTTACCAACCTCTTGAATCAGAAACAGCTGATTTCATGATTCCTTAGATGATGTGGGCACTTTGGGGGTAAAATTGGCCTAAACGCTATGGCATATAAGCCAGGGTCAGAAATTATTTCTGGGAAGAAAATATGATACCTAGACTTCTAATTTTCAATTTTCATTACATAATCACAAAATACAGCATTTACACAGGGCTAAAAGGTCATCTTTATTGACTATGGTGAAATTACATCGGTCACTGGAGATCTATTTTGGAGCAATTTCAAAGGCGTGGAAAATTTGGGGGGAAACAAAATAAATGCAATTCTGTGCACTTGGCTGGGCATTAAAAATTTAAAATTTTTAAGGCAGAGCTCGCTCACCCTCCTTGAAGTATTCGAACCAGCAAATCTTCATCATTCACATTGACAGCTCGATGGAAGTGCTCACTACTTATGGGTTCTCCTAAAGAAAGAAGATGGAAAGGAGTCACCCAAAGTTGAACAAAAGAAAATTCCTTCCGGCCTCACACCACGTGCAGCCTTGAGTGGGGGCTCAGGTTCAGCTCCGGGAAGGGCCTTGGCTATTCCAGGAAGTGTAGCTTACATTTCCTATTCAACTTCTTTTACCGAAAAATACCTTGTTTCCATATATTAATAACACTTAAGATTGTCCTAAGGACTTGAGACAGCCTCAAGTTATGAGAGTATTGCTTTGTGAATAGCATTTTGAGAGGTGAAAATAATCTTCCAGATTTCATAAGACTTAATAAACCTCCCTTACAAGCAAGGGGAAGCCCCACCATCATCACATCAGGCTGGTTTTGTTTGCCAAAGAGTCACTAAAGTACTTGAACAAACAACAAAAATAAATTACTTTAACGTCTGACGTCCCAAATTTCAGTTCTTCCTAGGAATAGAACATTCATGTTGGAGCTCCTGGGGGGCACACGGGGCTCATTCACAGAAGTGGGACAGCGTGAGAAAGCCTGATTATGGGGGACAGCCTGCATGTGAGAAGGGCGAGGAGGAGGAGCCTGCAAAACAAGGGGAAGCAGGGCAGAAGGGAGGTGTCCCTGTGGGAGGGGGGGACATTGGCTCCTCGAAGAAGAGAAGAGGGGGAGATGCAGAAAGGAGCAGAGTGTGACGATAGAGGACCAAGCGAGAGGGGCGCCTGGGTGGCTCAGTGGTTGAGCGTCTGCCTTTGGCTCAGGGTGTGGTCCTAGGGTCCTGGGATCGAGTCCCACATCAGGATCTCTGCATGGAGCCTGCTTCTCCCTCTGCCTAGGTCTCTGCCTCTCTCATGAATAAATAAATAAAATCTCTTAAAAAAAAAAAAGGACCAAGTGACAGAAGCCCTCTTTCAGGGCAATTATCCCACGTCTCTACTGGCTCCACATGCTGTGATTTTCTAATTGTTTGAAGGATTCAGCATAAATGAAACACAAGCGAAGCACTTAGACTAGCACCTGGCACATCACAGATATCCAACACGTGTCTGTCGTTGAGGTGGTGGGAAGGGCAGTGGCCCTCTCTGTGGCCCCCACACCCAGCCGTCACACGCTCAGCGTACCTTCCTAACCTGGATGGATACCGAGTTTATAATCCCCAGTTCCAGTCAGCTCCAAGGTCACTTCCGTCCTTTCAACAAATGTTTATTAAGGAGCTCACACGCCCAGTCCTGATGCTGAGGGTCCCAGAGGAACAAGGCAAGCATGTTCCTCTCCTTTGCTATTTACACAATAGTATCCACTTCTGTCATCATCTTAAACCCTAAAACACCTGCCTCCTACCCTGTCTTCCCGAGCTCTACCCCAGACTGCTTCCTGGGGGCTCACCCACCACCTCACTGCCCTCTTACAGTCTGGCCTCCAGAGGTCCCCTGGCCAGCCCTGCCAGGTAGGGAGCCAAATTCCCTCTTCCTGTACCTCGGGTAGAAAAACTCTCTAGGACCAGACCTTGGAGCTGACTGGATTGGGGATTATAAACTCAGTACCCATCCGGGTCGGGGAGGTAGGCTAAGAAAAATATGTGGGCACTGGAGCCACTTTGCTACTACTCATTTCCTTGGAGGATTTTAGCTGGGCGAATTACAAACTAGGAAACCAGGGGTGGGGGGGTGCGGGGCAGAAGAATGTAGGGGTCACCAGCAGAATGACCTCTAGCTGATACCCTTTATTTCTGGTAAAAATAAATTTAAGCCAAGTTAAAGCTGTTTTTGAAATAACAATTTTGTCTGCTAGAGCTTGCCAATCTCCTAAAGATTTTTTAGCCACATTGTACTTCCTTTTCATCATTCCACACATATTTTTAGGCCAAAAGCTTCAAATAAAAGTATCATGATAAACTATCAAAGGGTAAGGCCTACCGCTGTCCCCAGCCTTCCAAGGAAAATCAGGCCTAGCCTGGTGGTTCCACCTGGGGGGTATGGACGGGAGCAGTACACCCCTCCCCCTCCACCATCACCATGAGGACATTTGGGAAAGCCTGGAGACATTTTTGGTTGTCACACCTTAGGGGTTGGTGCTACTGGCCTCTAGCAGGGAGGGGGGCCAGGGATGCCGATAAACATCCTACAGTACACATGATGAGAATTAGCCAGCCCCCAAATGTCAACAGTGCCAAGGTTGAGGAACCCTAGGCTAGAATAATATGGACTTAAAATGATCTATTGGGTGATGCATCTATACTTTAGTGGACAAGCTAAACCCACGGAAAGTTTCCCTTCCTCCTCACTTCCCAGAAAGGAGGGGGAGAGTGGGATGGTGGTGGTACATCTGTTATCCCACCAAACAGCCCCCACTTCTGGGACTCTCAAACTTCAATTGCCCCTAAAAATACAACAACAACTGACTTCCATAGAATCATCTAGAACACAGAAAGCTCATCCCATTTCTATGAAATTTTAATTTTTTTTTTTTATTTATGATAGTCACACAGAGAGAGAGAGGCAGAGACATAGGCAGAGGGAGAATCAGGCTCCATGCACCGGGAGCCCGATGTGGGATTCGATCCCGGGTCTCCAGGATCGCGCCCTGGGCCAAAGGCAGGCGCCAAACTGCTGCGCCACCCAGGGATCCCCCCATTTCTATGAAATTTTAAAAGATGGCATCTAAACTCAAAGTCCTATTAATTAAGCTCTGTCTAGGATTTTACACAATGCTTTTTCAATTCTTCTTCAAACCACAAAACTGAGAGCCAGGAAGACTGAGTGAGTTGTCCAAGGTCAAGCCAGTAGGCGTGGGCAACATCAGAGCTCAAAATGAGTCTTTAAGGCCACGCTCCCTCCTCGGGCATTTTAATACACGCTGAGGTAGCAGACCAATTCATTATATGCTTCCAATCTTATTAAATTTTGAAAATCAGCAGACTTCTTAAACAAACATGATCCCCACCCACACAAAGTGTTAAATGGAAGGGAATGCTAAAGCCTAAAAAGCTTCAGGAAAGTGCTAACTTAAGATTTTAAAGAAAGTTCTGAAAGCACATGCAGCATCCCAGCATATTTCTGCACTGACCCACCTCCAATCCACATCATCTGTCTTACCTGGCCAGTACAGCTCTCCCAGTGGGGGGCACTTCCTGGTGCATCCTACCCAGGAAGCTCTGCAGCATGCAAATATTGGAAAATGAAATAAGTTCATTTTGTGGTTAGAAGCTTGAGGACAATGCGCAGCAAAGACCAGGGTTTTTTTTTTATAGTGGGACATAACGTCAATGAACGTATTGCCTATTCCAGCTTCTGCGAGAGGTAATCGGTGCCCTCAAAACTCAATCTGAAAATAAAAGGACATCTCACAGAAGACAGAGGACACAGCACAACTGTTAATCATTCCGGGCTTGCTGAATTTCAGCAAAAGGAAGCAATAAGTATCATTCCGGGCACAAAAGCTCTTGCTCAGCATTAACTCATTAACCCCTCTCAGGCCACTGCCAGGAAGGCGAAGAGGTAACCGAGGATTAGCAGCACCAGACCAGACACCACCCAGATCAACCAAGGCACGGGAAAGTCTCCATTTGTGCGAATCGGACAGAGTAACAAATGAAAGGGCTCCTGTTCCCAGAGCAGATTAATTCTTTCTTCCTCCCACTATAAGCAGGAGTCACAAAGAGAGGAAATTCCAGGGTGAGCCAAACGTTCCACTCCTCCTATCCCTGAATCCTTCAAGATTTCGTGGGCCTGGCCCAAGGGATTGCCATCATTTAAGTGCAACTGCATACAAAAAAGGCAGGCTTTGCCTCTGTGGGTTTGGTTGGCTAATGTTTACCCCTGAGTGTTGCAATGATAAATACTGAATCAATGATGTTGCCCGTGGGAGGATGTCTGGGAGTGCTCCATCAGGCAGGGCCAGGGGAGGGGAGGGGACCCCCGAGAGGAGGGGAAAGCCATCGCCGCCGTGTAGCTACAGATGCGCCAGCAGATACTGCAATGTGGGGGTAACACGTTTCTGGGTGGAATTCAGGTCCCTGTTAGAAGCAGTGAATAAATGATGAGCTCATTGGAGGAGAGATTTGCCAATTAACAAGCAGCAGCTGCTTTTCTCTTTTTAAGGACCCAACTGATTAAAATTGCATGCCTTATTTAAGCAAGAGTCTCGTGGACTTTACCTGGAATTTAAAAAAAAAGAAAAGAAAAGAAAAGCTGAGCATCCTTTATTCAAAGTAAATGCTTTCGTGATTCATTAAAAACACTTTCAAACTGAATGCAAATGATCAACCCACAGAAACATTTTTACTTGTTTTGTAAAATATGTACCTTTTTTTAATTCTTTGTTTAGCATGATCTACCTCCTTAAGGGAGTCTGCTTTGGATATTATAAATATAATAATAGCATAAGGGAGCAGCAGCCAGCAAGAAGAGGGTACTGGACCCTTGCCACCCAGGAGAGCCCCCTGAGGCTGAGAGCATGTCTTGGCTGCAGCATTGTGCTGTGACCAGACAGCAAAATGCACAGGAAGCCGGGCACTACCAGGAACCATGTCCCCATCATACCCCAGTCCCTGCAGGAGGTCTTGTCTAATGACCCACGGAAGCCACAGACTGCAGTGACAAATGCCCTGGACCACTGGTCCAGCTCTCTGCAGCCGCCTCTCAGAAGCCAGCTCAGCAAGAAGGCAGCACAATCCTTGTCAGCTGATAGAAAGCCACTGTGGTTTCTGCCTTCCCAAAGAGCTCCAAATGGTATGCAGACACCACGTCAGCTCTAGCCAGAAAGGTCCAGAAGCCCATGCCCTGACATTGATGTGATATGAAGAAAAGATGCCAGTGGCAAGCTGAGCTCACCATGGCTAGTTCTGCATCCTGTTCACCCTCACCTCATAGGTCCAGGGGCTCTCCCCAGCCCATACGACACAGGTCCATCTCCCAACAGGTATGAGTGTGAGCTGAGAAAAATCAGCGTTGCTCCTCATTCTAATTCTGCCTCCAGGCTTCTCCATTCACCACCCATCATCCGTTGATTATTGTCTTCCACAAGCTAGACCTGACTGACCTATCACATCCTCTACTTCGGAGGCACACAAGTCGGTGGGAGACGAAGATGATAATTAAAAAAAAAAAAAAAAACATGAAAGTAAGATGCCCTGAGTGTTAGCAGAGGGGGAGACCCAACTGGGTACGAGGGAGACACACCAGCACATGGCGGAGAAGGAGAAACACGAGGAACCACCCCTGAGCAGAGCTCAGCCTGTGGAGTGGCTCAGCAGGCAGAGGGGTGGGATGGGTGCTGGGAACGGGGGGCTCCAAGGTGGGGGCATTGCAGACAGAATGGGCAAAGGCAGAGGAGTGTGGGAGTGGCCTGTGGCTGGCTGGGGACAGCAGCACGGGAGGGAGCACGCTGGCCCAGCGTCCCCTAGGGAGTCACTATTTGAACAGTAGGTTCCCTTTGACAACTTTCTCCTGCCCCTGCTCCCCCGTTCTGTATGCCTGCCCTCCACTCGGAAGAAACCAACTCACACTCGGCTGCTCCGCCTTTTCCTTCCCCTCAAAGCTCCAGGAGCTCCGGGTCCCCCCAGGAAGCAAACGCCTTCACAGCCAGCACACGAAGGACCAGCCCTCTTTCCTGACCTGCGTCTCTGTAACGGTCCATTCCACTTGGAAAGTCTCCTCGGAAATCATGTGCCTTCGCAGGGAGCTGAGCCCCCTGGGGAGGGCACACCTCTCTCAGCCTTCACCAAATTCTCAGTTTGCCAAACTAAGGCGCAGCTCCCTAGTGGCTTGGTTGCAAATGAAGATATGCTAGGGTAATTCAAAACCTGAATCACCTTTAACCCACACAAAAATCCCTCCAAATAAGTGCATAAAGGACACAACTGAAAGTCACAGAAGGAAAACTGTATTTTTATTTATACATGTGTATGTGTGTATAAACAGCACATACGCCAAATGCAATATTGATTGAAACTTAATTTTTTTAAAGACTTTATTTATTTATTCATGAGAGACACAGAGAGAGAGAGGCAGAGACATAGGCAGATGGAGAAGCAGGCTCCACGTGGGGAGCCCAATGCAGGACTCGATCCCTGGACTCTGGGATCACGCCCTGAGCTGAAGGCAAACGTTCAACCACTGAGCCACCCTAGCGTCCCTTGATTAAAACTTTAAAATAACTTTTGGGGCACCCGGGTAGCTCAGTCGGTTAAGTGACTGCTTCAGTCCAGGTCATGATCCCAGGACCTGAGTGGAGCCCTGAGTCAGGCTCCCTGCTCAGTGGGGAGTCTGCTTCTCCCTCTGCCCCTCGCCACCCCCCACGTGTGTGTGTGTGCGCGTGCGTGCATGTGCACATGCTCTCTCTCAAATCAATCAATCTTTAAAAAATAAAGTAAAATAACTTTGACTCACAGAGGAAGATTTTCTTTGTGCAAGTGATAAAAGACTCGTGTTTCCAGGGAGTAGACCACAAGAAACCTGACCATTTTAATCTTTACCACATTCTAGATACACACACATCTTTTTTAAATGTTTTAAAATCCCGATCACAGAAACTATCTGTACCCTCAGATGTGACCTGGGAGGAGGACATGCAGGTCAGAGGCAGCGCAGCCCTCCCCTCGCCCCTGCATGTGTGTGGAAGCCGCATTGTTCATTCTTCCTCACTCAGCCTCCCCGGGAACCAAATTTGTGTGTCAAGATATAGGATGGACGTTGTCCAAAAAGGACAAAATGCTTTGTAGACCTTGTCACCTTAGAGCATCCAAAGAGGGAGACTTTCTCAGCCCACACCCCACCAGCCCGTTTCTGAAGAAAGGCGACTCCACCCTGTGGTACTGAATGTGTACTCGCAGGGCGACGCTGACCCCAGAACAGCTCTCCCCGTTTATTAAAGCACAACTCGACATCCCTCATGCTGTATGGCCTGGCCTTGCCAGGAAACAATCCCATTCACAGTCTTTAAAAATGGAAGAGTTTCTGCTTCCAGTAAGGCAGAGGAGGAGAAGGCAGGATATTTTTTACCTTTCTATATGGCTTGTGGTCTTCATTTATCCTTACATAGAGGAGTTTGGGGTTAGTAAACTATACTCACTGGTTGTAGACACGGAGACCACTGGGCTGTACTCATACTCTCCAGAGGGGCTGGTGACCTTCAGTCGAAATCTGTACAGTGTCCGTGGTTCCAGACCTTCCACAACATGCTTCGTTGCATATCCCCTAGATGGGAGGAGACAGGCATGAGGAGGACACCAGGGAATCCAATCAGCACGCTCGGAAAGTCACCCAAAGAACAAGCAATCTGTGAATGCGATCTACTTCCAGGATGATGTGATCGGGGTTGGTGTGGGCGTGCCCTGAGTGTGAAGGGGAAGTCACGCATCCATCCCCGCCCACCCAGCCCACATTGTAGGATCCTGAGAACACACTTGATTTTTTTTCCCCCGCATTTAAGCAAAACTACCAAGTTCGGGGGTGGTTTGTTACCCAGCAAGAGATAACTGATGCATCATGTACCAGCAAAGAAGAAACTGTAACAAAGACAATGAAGAAATGATACCAACGGCATTAAGAAAAACATCTGAATTAAGAAACCAGGAGGACAGAAGGGTTAAAAGTCTATATAAATACATTTATTACCATAAAAGTGAAAGCTCTGAAACCAAGATAAATGTTCAGAGAAACTGCGTGGTTTTTCAAAATCATTATCATCACCATCTAAAACATATCCGCCCTGGCACAAAGTGGCCTCAAGAGTAAATGGATCTCATCCTTTGTGTGGGCGTACATCCATATCCACAGATAGGGGAATCCTGGAAAACGAGCCTTGAATTTGTGGCATCTGAAAAGATCTGTAGGAGCTCAAATTGAATAGAATATCCAATTGAGTAGAATATGCAATGTCGGGTGTCAAAGACTTAACCTAGTTTCAGACCAAGAGGAAACCCAAAGTGCCCCCAATAAAATCCAGTTGTTGCTCAACATCGGGAGTCACCCTGCGGCAAGCAGCACCTTCATAACCCCTGGAAAGAGGAGTCACATGACTGTTTAGAAAAACAGAAGTCACCGGGCACAGTTAGGGAGGGATGGAGGCCCTCCCTTCAATACGGAGGACCCCGAGGAAGGGACCGGACACACAGGGCCCCGGGACACAGCTGCCCGCTGCGGCTCCATCCACCACAGTCGCAGCCCAGCCTATGGGGAGACAGAGGCCGTTCAGCAAACTCGTAGAGACGCACACCTCCCCACGGCCCAGGCGTGGTACCTGAATGAATAAAAACAATATTAGGACATTCCCACCGTAGAGGAGAGCATATGAAAGTGTGATCCGGGCCTTTTTTTTTTTTTTATCATCAGTCAATAAGCAAATATGTGATGCAGCAGCTGAGCAAATGTGAAACATAGGAAACCCAATACCAGGACACCTAAGGACTCCGAGGCCAGACCTGCCCCCGTCTCTGTGCTCCCCCCACCCCCAGCTCCACTCCAGTCTCCTGCTGGGGACCCTGAAATTCACTTCCGGAGCTGTGACTCTCCCCTCGGCCGATCCTCTCCAGCTGCTCCTTGACATCTCCGCTCAGCGGCCAGCTGATGTCCCAACCGAGCTCCTGCTCCTGCCCTCGTCTTCCTGTCTTTGTTATTGGAGACGCTCAGGCCCCATCCCCCGGTGCCACCTGCGGAAGACTGGATTATTGTCCCCAAATATTTGGTGCCCTCCCCCAAGGGTCCTGTTACCCCCGCCCTGTTGAATGCAGGCGTGGCTGTAGGACTTGCTTGGAGCAAGGAAGCAGAAGCAGGAATGAAAGGTGTCATTCTGGATGATGGAAGCTTCAAGAAACAGCTTCGTGCTGGAGCCTGCCCTCAGCACGGTGACTGGCAAGCTCCAGGTGGAGGCTGCTCCATCAGCCCGGGCGGATGTGGAAGGAAGACAACAGGAAATGGAGCCACGGCCGACACAAAGGGTATGTCGTGTGGGAAATACACTGTCGTCCTAAAGCACAGAGCTTCTGAGGTTGAGGTTGGAGCAGCCTCGCTCGCCTGTCCCGGGGGACGAGGCCAGATCTAGAGCTACCCCCTTGTCGCTCCTCTTCCTCTCCCATCTCATATCTGAGCCACAGCAAAGTCTTCAAGTCTGTCTTTAAACCCACCCTAAAAAAAATAAATAAAAATAAACCCAGCCTAGACTTAACTGTGGCTCACGATGTTCCATCATCTTCTGTCTCCCTCACTGCTAAGACACTCACTGCCCTGCCTCCCCGGGGCCTGTTCTCACCTCAGCAGCCAGAGCCATCGTTAGAAAGCGTGTCAGCCAGGCCTGGCCCTCCCGCCTCTCGGGGTAAAAGCCACAGCTGTGTCCCTGGCCAGCCCACTGACCCCAGCGATAGCCTCCCGTTGCCTCGCTGGCCTCAGCTGGCGTTGGTCCCCTCATTCGCTCGCTCCTCAGTGTTCCTGAAACACACTGGGCCCGGGCCCCTCTCCAGGGGGCTTCACTTGCTGTTTCTTCTGCCTGGAATGTTCTCTCCGAAAGGATGGGGCAGGGGGGAGCGGGGTGGACATTGGCCTGAACAGTAGAAAACAGCTCAACATACATGCAGGAGAAGTCAGGGCATCTCGAGGACAGGGGGTAGATCTCGCCGGACAACTGGTGCTCGGAATAAGGGGCAACGGGGCAGCCAGGTGTGGGCAAGCCGTGAGGGCATCCTGGGCCGGTCTGAGGAGTCTGACCTTCACGCTTCCAGAAAGGAGGCTCCCCGAAGAGAATGCGACAAAAGGACTGTTGGGAAGAAGGCTAACCCAGCAGGACGGGGGGAGCGCGGAAGGCAAGGGAAGTGGCGCGGCCCCTCCAGGCAGCAACACGCTCCCAGCTGGGGTCTGGGATGCAGCCAGGGCCCCCCCGGCTTGCACGGAGGGAGGCCTCGGGAAGGGAGAGCTCGCGTACGCGGGCGACCGACGGCTGTGAGGACAGCCCAAGTCACAGCCGACACCCCCGACCCCCGTGGGCAACGGGCAAGTCAGCGCTTCCAAGCTCAGGTGTCCTAAACCTTTCCGAGGTAAGGCATCGCCAGCGCTGGGGCAGTGGCAGCAGGAGGCGGAGGCAAGGAGGTGGCGATTCACACAGTCTGACTCTGCCACCTAGTGTCAAGCTCTTGCTGCCAATTCTCCAAGGGAAGGCAAGCGTTTCTGGGGCGCCCTTGGAGTTGGGGGTCAGCAGGCCACGCCCTCCAGGGGGGCCCCCAGCTGGACGGCACTCAGGTGTCTGGGGAACGTGAGGCACCAGGATGCACACCCCAGGGTGGGGACCAGCGTGTGGGAGGGAGGTGGGGGGTAAGGGGGTGCCGACCACCTGGCCGCTGGCAGAGAAGGTGAGAGGAAGTGGAGGCACATCCAGCACCGCCCCACCTGAAGTGCCCCGGTGCAGGTGCAGTGTGGGGAACCGGGGAAAGTGGTGGGGGGGGGGGAAGTCGTTCCCTTCTCCATATTAATACTTCTAATATCCTACTCATGCTTTCAGATTGCAGATGGAAACTACCTAATAGAGAAGAACATGGCATGACATCATTAAAATAACATTTTCAAGTAGTCAGGCCAGGAATTATTTGCAGATGGTAACTACATTAGAGATAAATGTGTGGATTTTTTTGGTGCGTTTGTGGAGAGGAGGCAGTGGTGTTTGTGTCTTAAAAAAAATTGTTCATTAAATCTCAGGGATATCTTCATTCAGGGAACGGTGAAAGCCTCTGTTAACCCCCTCAACGTCATCACAATGTCACCTTGAGAAGGAACCACTCTGCGCCTTGACTGCATCAACCCCAGTATTCTGGTGCTGAGGCTGCCCCATAGCTTCCCATGATGTCACTACTGGGACACGTGGGCAAAAGGTACACGAGACCTCTACGATTTCTCACAACCAGATATGAATCTACGATTACCTCAAAGTCAATTTTAGTTCGCAACCATATTTGTATCGTGGTTTTGGCACCCCTAAAACTGTCGTTTTGCAAGTGGTAAAGCACTTGCAAAATCAAAGGGAAGCAAGTAAGAATTGAAATGAAGACTAAGGAAAAAAATGACTTCTTGATTACCCCCATTACATTCATTTATTCATTTGTGTGACGAGTGTTCAGAGGGCCCGCCGTGTGCCAGCACTGCCTAGGACGGGGGCACCGGGTGTTACACAAGCAGTTCTGCTTGTCGCGGAATTTAAATACTGGTGGGAAGACAAAATGAACATGCCAGAAGGGCAAGTAATTCCAGCAGAAGCCGAATGTGAGGAGCACATGAAACCAAGTCGGATCAGAGAGGATACCTGGATAGGACGGCCGCTTCAGATGGCCTTCTGCGGAGGGAATATTCGACCCAAAGTTTGCATGGTGTGGAGGCACCAGCCATATAAAAACAGGATGAAACGCACTCAAGGTAAGATAACAAGAAAGGCCCCAGCCTGGGCACCAGCACAGACTGGGAACAGCTAACAAAGAACAGCAGTGTGACAGGAGGTCCAGAGGGCATCCCCCAGCCCACATCTCCGAAACACAGAAGGTACCTGATGGTACCTCCTCCAATTTCAGAGTCTCTTGATTCTGTCTCTACATTTTAGAGCTTTAAAATATACCATCAGAATACTGCAGAAGCCTAAGAAGCTCTCAAAAGGTATGAGGTTTAATTTCAAAGTTACTGCTAATGCAGATCTTCCAAAAATCCTAATTCATAAAAAGCATGCATGCAGATGATGCCGACTCGTTCTTTTCTTTCATTTCAAAAGGAGTCTTTTTAGAGACAATCGAAACCATTCCAGCTCATCAGGAAATCAAAGCAAAATGTTAAGCGATTCAACATTGCACCTACGTATAAATGATACCGTAAGTGTGCATTTTGGGGTCTTCTTCTTCGATCGAGAACCTGAACCACTGCTCCTGAGGTCCTTGCCGTTTCGCTCTCTTTTCCAGATCCCAGTACAATTCAATGCTGTGATGAGTCACTTTGCCCACAACAGGTGGATGAGGCTTTGAGGATGGTGTGATTTCTAAAAAAGAACGACACAGAATTTCAGAACTCCATTTCCGTAAGGACATCAGCTGAGTGCATTAGAGCTGCTCAGAGATCAAACTGTTTTCCTACACATCAGACACACGTGTGGGCACTCCTCCCTGCTGCTTGAAGAACATCTGAAAAGCTCAAGTGACAGGAAATTCAGCTGATGTAGTGAGCTACCACATACTTCAATGAGTAGATCGTATCACAACCCATCAATGCCATATTTCACTTATGGACCTTTCCAAAAACGATGGTTAACAAACAGATCAGACTCATTGGGGCGTTCTTGAGCTAATGAAACTCAGTATGCTGCGGGAATCCTTCAGTGAACTGGCTGGTAAACAAAGCTGATAGACACATAGAGCTGGTCCAACTATTTGTAACATAGGTGACAAAGGATTGATATCCACTCTACATAAACAGCTCTTACAGACTAACCAAGGGGAAAACCCAAAGGCTAATAACCAACCAGGCAAATGATGAGCAGCGGACAAGACAAAAACAGCTAGCATAATGTCCAAACAGACACTGATATTCCCAACTGGCCACAGAAATTGATAACAAAGTCATATAACTCTATGTCCAACCAGACACTCAAGATGTCTTAACTATCAGAGGCGACGATGTAGGGAGAGGATGCTCTCATGTGATGCTGGTGGGGAAATAGGAATTCTGTGCAGTCTTTTTTAGGAAGCAATGTGGCAGTTTGTATTACAGTTAAAAATACAGATAGCCCCCTCTCCAGTCGTCCCAGAAATCAGAGCACCAGAGCACAGAGGGACACCTCCATGTCCACAGTAAGAGCTACAGTTTTCAGCAAAAAAGAGATGACCCATGAATAAAGGGAGGGTCAAATAAATGATGACATGTCCATAGCATGGGAGATTACAAATGAACTAGTTCCATACTGGATGCCTGCTAGGATTTCTAAGTTCCTTGAGGGCTGGGTCCATGTCTTACTTTTTTTTTTTTTTAATTGAGAGAGCGAGAGAGAACAAGCAGGGGAGGGGAAGGGGCAGAGGCAGAAATAGAGAATCTTAAGCAGATTCCACACTCAGTGTGGAGCTCGAGCTCACGACCCCGAAGATCAGGACCCGAGCCAAAACCAAGAGTAGGACACTTAATCAACTGAGCCACCTGGGCACCCTGATGTCTTACCTTTCTTTTTAAAATTCTTCGTATCCCACAGGGCCTTTCAGGCCCCAGACATATCAGTGGTTTGCCACACTTGTCATTCATAAGAAACAGTCTTGTGCTTTCCTTAAGCCCCATCTCAGGTAGGAGATCCACACTCCCCCCAGACCTCCGGGCCTCCTGCAGTGTAGATGCCTTTGAGGAAGGCAGGGCTGCCTTGATCGTGCCTGCTCCAGGCCAGGAGGACAACTACCAGTTTCCTTCACTTCCCACAGAGACACTAGAGGGCAGCCTGCAAGCTTATTTTTTTCAACTTTATTTTCCTAATATTTATCGAGAGCATGGCATGGTGGAATTGGATAAACCCGGGTCTAAATTCGTGAACCAGTCAAAGATATTCAAAGTGTTTTGTGATAACTCAGTAACACGTGAAGTCGCCAGTTACGGTGTACTTCATACAATGAAATCTTACACAGCAACACAGGTACAATCTCAGTGAGTGAAAAACATACGTTCAAGGATCTGCTACATCGTACTGCATATGTAAGTTTTTACAACACAACACTAGACATTGTTTGTGAGTACACAAATATGCAGTGAAAGTCAAATCTGTGAAGGGGAAGGAATGCACACCACCAGGATAGAGTTATCTCAAAGAAAGTTGGAGAAGGGATACAGAGAGGTCCTGGGGAGGGAGACTTGCCACTGTATTTGTAGGGTTTCAGTTCTTTAAGAATTTAAGACCTACTTGGCAAGATGCATTTTAAAACTACATGGTACGTGGAGCCGTAGGATTTTTAACAGCTTTGGTATATTTGAAATATTAAGACCCATAAAAATGATAAACATTACTCTTATGGGCCTGTTGGTTTCCTTAGAGAAACCTATTTCAATGTTCTACGTATAACATCTGTGGGGAAAAGAACACGTGAGCATCGACCACATGCTAGACACTGACCTTTCGGCATTAGCATCTCATCTAACCCCAGCAACGCTGCCTGGAACACATTGGAGACTCACACTCTGATGTTATGATACCATTGCTGAGCAACCCTTTTTTGCTGGTCCTTCCAGAGCCTTCTAGAACCATCCAAAGACCAGGACTGATTGACTCTTATGGATAAACGCCCCCCCCCCCATATAATTAGAAGCCAAGTAATACATCCATTCCAAAGACATCTGGCTTAGAATCCCACTCAAAATCAAGATAGGCAAGAACCTCTAAATGCCAGATTTTGAAGTGGGTAAGTCAAATGGCTCGCCACGGATTTACGTGAGGAATAAAGAGATCACATCCCCGGTTATGTAAGCTTTTCTCATGCCTTGCCCTTTACTAATCATTGATACAGTAAACAATACGAGACCAGTGTCTGTGAGCTTAGCAGTGGCCACGGATGGTCAGACCTCTGTGAACTCGGCATCAGAGCCATGAGACGTGGCAACGTGCCCACATCTAGCTGTGCTCTCGGGATGGTCAGTGTCCCCCTGCTCTCCATTCACCCCTCCCCCTGATCTGCCACATCAGAAAAGGCATGGGGTTTGGACAGTTGTTTTGTTTTGTTTTTTAAAGGAGTGACTCAAATTTCACCGCCCCATGGCCTCACCACGGTTTAGCACTCAAACTCTCTGGCGTATGGCTATAGCTGAGACACCATTCTGCACTGCTTTAGTACCCAGAACCCCCAAAGGTTTGTGCATGGACCAGCGAGGACATATTCTAAGTCTTGTTTACTGAACAACAAAACTTCCCGCGATGGAAATCTCCATCTGGGCAAGAACTGCTTTGGGCAGAAAGCTGTTGATGTCAAACAGGACTCACACGGTTACGACATGAATGAGTGTTCTCATCAGGTAAGAGCTGAGGATTTTTCAGGTGGCCAAAAAAAATAAACAGAGGATGAGACCAAACTTGTTTTGGTCTTTGGCCAACCTACGGTCATTTGACGGGTGTGTTTGTATTTTCTTTGATAAAAATTCTGGTATTTTTATCATGACCTGTCAATATGCATATTGTAGGATGTTGGCTTTAGGATCCTAAAATATATGTATCAAGGATCAACAGATTACTAGCCAAAGTGCAAACATCAATATGCCAAGGGAACAGATCCCTGGGTCAGCACTGAGCCTCCATGAGCGTGGACAGAAATGGCAAGCAATAGGCCTACTCAGGGCCAGGCACTGTCGTTAGATGCTTTACATGTATTCATCTGGTTACCCTTCACTACAACTATAAACGGAAATAATAAAAATCCTTCTACCATTACCAAATACCAGAGATGCAGAGATTAAGGAATTTTCCCAAGGTCAGACTGTAGTAAGAGGCAGAACTTGGCAATCTGACTCAGAAAGTCCCTATTGTTAGCCCTGTACCATATGGCCTCTTAGGAGCAGAGATATAAGGTAGACCCAGGTGAAAAATCTGTTTAGATCTAAAGATTTCTTCAAACCATTCATTTTATTTTTAATTCCAGTGTAATGAACATAGTGTTAGTTTGGGGTGTACAATATAATGGTCCAATCACTCCATGTATTACTCAGTGCTCATCAAGGTAAGTGTACTCACAATCCCCTTCACCTATTTCCCCCATCTCTCCAGACCCCACTCCCCCACCCCAACCCCCTGCCCAATGACCATCAGTGTGTTCTCTAGAATTAGGAGTCTGATGTTCGGTCAAACCACTCATTTTAAATAAGGTTTAGCTTGTGAACTGGACTACACCCCCAGGACATTTAAAGATGAGCATGAGAAGTTGACAAGAAAAAGGGAAACAATCACTGGTTGAAGTGCAGGGATGCTGCATGCGGGAGAGATGAGGGAGAGTAACCCCTTCACGACACTGGGGCCAGGGAGGCTGCTCATCTTTGGGAAACTTGGCTCACAAAAAAGTACATGATCCAAGAGGAGCACAGAACCCTAATGGGGCCCAAGAAGGCAGAGAGGTTTGGCTGCCATTCACCTTGACACTGTGACCATGGGTAGGAAGCCAGCCAGTTGCCTCTACATCCAGCGTGGAACGTGGAGAGGAAAAGATGGCAAAACCGGTCAAGCAAAGGGTATAGCATGTGGGTTAAACAGTTAGTGAGATGTTCCCTAGAGAAGTCTGAGACAAATATTTATACCAGGCCAGGGAATACACAATAAACTGGAAAGAAATATGCTACATTGAGTTTACTATCAATGTATGCACAAATTCCTCTATTTTTATATTTGACACCTCCTCCCTCCCCCCCCCCCCACACACACTTTACAGGGAAGCTAGAATTGCAAGGGGAGAGGTACATGTATCTAGGACTCCAGCCCTGGCTCACCCCACTCCAGCTGGCTGTATGACAAGTAATGTATCATTCTTAAGGTGACTAAAAATAAACATTTTGGAAAAACTCAGCAATTCCCCTTTTTGCTATTTAACCAGGATGTTTATGTCCATTTTTGCATTTATCTTGTATCATAAGAAACATTACTTGGGGAACTGTCTTTTAAAAGTTTTATAAAATGAATGCATAAACACCACAACACATTGAGAGACACACGTGAGATGCTTTTTTTATTATTTTCATTCCAGTCTAGTCGATATATAGTATTCGAGGCTACTTTTTTATACAGAACGTTTATTTTCCTGATAAGTGAGTTTCAGATCTTTTAGAAAGTGCTTTTGCTGAAGTCTGATAACCCGTGTCACATTTAGACAATCACATCACCTCAGGTCATAATCTCTGGCTTAAAATTTAACTTCCCTAAAGAAACCAACAAAAAGAAAAGAAAAAAAAACCCATACCTTCAATTTTGCATGGTTCCTTTAAACAGTTGGTAGATTTTTTCCATTGTGACAAACTTTTCTTATCTTTAAAATTTTC